TGTCAAAGAACACTACTGCCACCTACTGGTTTGTGACGTCACGGTGCGGTATCGGCTGTTGATCAACTCCCAGTGCTCCCACTCCTAGACTAAAAGATCGCGACGAAAATGATTGTTTTTATGTTTTTACTGATTAACGCTAAATTCATTAAATCACTGCAAACGTATTAGTTTTATGTATAGATAATGATGCACTGATTATTCCTTGCTGACCGGACTTTCCTACAGCAATTGTACATGCGGCCTCACTGTGTTGCCATAGTAACGACTGCTTTCTGTTGCAGGGAAGAAGCAGTTCTATTCATGTTTATACCCCCCATGTACAATCCAGGTGCCTTCCAAAGCTGGGGGTGGGACTTCACTTAGAGTGACAGTGGATGGTGAAGGGTTAGTGGTTAGGGAGCGGTTTGGGATTCAGCTGACGTCACCTGAATCCCAGCTAACCTTCAAGGACTCCATCTAACACTGCATGAGCCACCATTGTCTCACTGCTGTTGCCGAAGGAACTGTGTGTAAACATAGTTCTGTCACTTTGGTGTTAGATTTGTAACTTAATAACAAAACATTAAGCAATGTGTATAAAAACCCCAAACTTTTAAAAAGAACAATTCCAGAGGAATTCACTGTTTGTGCTCACAGAGAACTATAGAGATACACAGCAGGACAAAATATGTTTGATTATTATTTTTATTATTCAAAAGGGCAAATGCAGATCTTCTAAACCACATATTACTGTTTTCAAAAATCTATTCAAGTTTCTAAGAACCACAGAGAAACTAAACTGTAGATGTTTGGACTGCTATCGCCCCCTAGTGTTTGAACAGTTGGTTTATCTTGTGTCTCAGGGAGCCACACAGTTAGGCCTGGTGTTTAAAAAGCAAAATAAATAAAAACAGGCCGAGAGATGGAAAACATCTCACTACTGAACGATGGTGACAGCAGCTGGTGAACACTCACCAATGACTTTAGCCTGGAGTCTGACCTTCAGGCTGCTGTCTCTCCGTCCTTTGGCCACCACAGTCATCTCCTCCTGAACAATCCCCTCCTGGTGAGTCTTGTACTCACAGTTCACCTTTACTCCTCCTATTGGGGGTGGGGGTGAGGGTACAGCGTATATTGTGCTGTTAGATTCAGTAACATCAGAGCTTTTTAAAATGAGTAGATTTATTTACATGCTGTTGATAAAGTTTCTCTTGATGATTAAAATCCTCATACTATAGGTAGATAATGGGAGCTGTAAATTCAGAAGTCTGTCTCTTAGGTGGGATTTATCCTCCTGTAACACAATCTGACATTTTTCTTGGTTTTATTAGTTCTGCATCAGTATCTACCTCCAGTTCCTCAGCTTTGAATCTATTCACAGGCAGCTCCTCCACCTCCAGAGGGCAGTGGTGAGACAGCAGCCACTGGATCTCCTGCTGCTCTTTACCAGCAGCAAAGGTTAACAAGAGAATCTCATCTATGGTTATGAAATCATTTCCAAATAAAGCTCCTCCTGACCAGGGGTGGATTTAGGAAATTTGGGGCCCTAGGCAACTGCCTAGTATTGCCTAATGGTAAATCCCCTCTGGTCCTGACTTAATACAAACATTTAGAGCCTGAATCCATGTTAATAATGATGTTCTCTGAGGCCAGACCTACTTCCAAATGACCAGCTGAGGCGTTATGCTGCTCTCAGGACCATCAGTCTCTCCATGTACCTGCCAGCCATTCGCTGAATTTAACCACATGGGTGGAACTCTGTGGGTATGATGTGCATAAATAGTGTTCTTTAGTCTGGATATGGAACTCCAAAAGGAGAGATGATGTTTAGGATACTCTTTAGAGAAGAGAACAGTTTCCACCAAGCTCATAAATGTGAAATGAAGTTCCTTTGAAGTCTGAGTCAGATGTTCTGCTGCGTCTAACATCTTCATAGAGATCAGACCTCACTGCTGCTTGGACATCTCATAATCAGAGCTTTCTCTCATCTCCACCCTGTTTGAACCTTTTTTGCTAGATTAGACCTAAACTTTACAGCTGATAAAAGATAACATTTTTCTGTAAGCTCCAAATCTCACCACCGTTCCTCCAAACATCTCATAGAGCAAATGAACAAATACAACATTTATCAAAGTATTTACATTTCTTGATAAGGATTTTCTCTCTCACTAAAACTCAAAATAAACAAAGAGCAGAAAGGTTACTGCTGGACCCACCCTCCAGTATGGAGTTAACCCGCTGGACCCGCAGGTTCTGGGGCCTCCGAGTTGGAGAGAAGGAAGGAAGACAGGCCAGCTCCTTCCCCAGAGTGGGCGTGTCTGGGAGGGTGAAGGTGATCTCATAATGGTGGTGGCTCTTAAGGAACCCGGCCTGGAGAGAAACAGCAGGTCAGTCAGAAGCAGAGGCTGGTTTAAAGAAAAGTCCGGTTATGTTCACAATTCAAACTTCTGAAAGTCCTTTAAATATGAAATTATTCCATCCTGTTCAATAAAC